GGCGCAGGGGCCTCCGGAGCTCCGCCCGTCGCGCAGCGACCCTCACTCGGGTCCCCACGCTCCGCCTCCCGCTCCCTGAAGACCGTCGGCCAGGGGCTCCCCATCCCCGGCCGCCTGCTGCACCTCCCTGCGGAGGCGGGGCGAGGCTGCCCAGGGCGGGGTCGGCCTCTCGCCCCCTCTCACACCGGAGCAGGAGGCTGGGGCTATGCGGATCCCACCAGTGCCCGCTCGGGGTTCCTGGAACCCGCGGCGGCTAAGCTGGGCCCTGGTTTGCAGGACGCACCTCGCAGGCTGACTCAAGGAGCTGGGCGGGCCCTCAGGGGAAAGCTCTGGGGGGGATGCCCCCGCTGGGCGGAGGCCCTCTCTGCCCACAGCCGCTGACTGGCCGCACTTTTAGCCTGGGGCTAGGCTGAGGGCGGGGAGGGATAGGCCTGGGCCCGAAGGCGCCCACCCCATCCTCTACCCTCATCCGTGGGGTGCTGTGGGCAGTTTCTTTTTCCCTACATCGTTTCTTAGTCTCAGGGGTCAAATGCTTTGGGGGGGGGCAAAGGGTAAGGAGGAGGGATGAGCCAGTACTCACCTGAGGGGTCAGGGGCTGCTCTCCCTCAGCCCTCTGCACCCCAGTCTCTTTGGTCCCAAGTGAGATGGCCACACCGCAGCTCCCCGAGGGGCCACAGTCTGTGCCAGCCCCTGTCACCTCTGGCCGTGGGGAGCCCACCACTTCAGGGCCAGAGGAGAGGACCCCCCTGCCAGTTGGCTGGCTGAGGGTGGAGGGAAGCCTGTGTGCCAGGAGGCTCCCAGGGCAGGGCCCAGGCTGGCTGTGCTGCCGGGCCTGAGGGCAGCCCCTGGGTCCCAGCACCGCCCCCTTGCACTCCTGGTCCAGGCCAGGCCCAGGGGCTCTCACCATCTTTACCCGGAGCTCTGGAGCTCTGCAGCGTGACACTGGAAGCTGGGGGCTGGCCCATCACGCTGTGGTGGGTACCGGGAGGAAGACGGGTGCGAGGTGGCCGGCTGGGGACTTTGCAAGCAAGAAAGACAGCGCAGTTCAAGCCGCCCCCCCCCCCCATGTCATAGCAGGAAAGCAGCCCAGGCAGCTGGGGGTTCTGGAGGAGCGTTCTGGGGGGAAGCAAGTGAACAGAAAGAAAAGTGCGCAGAGAAATCAAGCCTGATTATGGCACTGCTAATTAGTGATCACTATTATGGGCGTTATTGTTGCTAATTATAGGCGAGGCACCTCCTCTCTCCTCAGGCCCCACAGCAGAACGAGTCTCCCTGTGATGTCCCTGGCCCAGGGTGGCGGAGGCTGGGGCTGGGCCCTGGCCCATGGGAGGGGCCCAGGGGACCTGTGTGTGTGCTGGGGCTGGGCCCCAGGCAGCCTCCACCCCTCAGCCCGGACAGGTCTGAACGACCCAGGCTGACTCCAGACTCCAGTCGAGGCCGGTCTCCCGCAGGGTCCTTGGTGCTCAACCTGAGGGCTGTGTGGCCCTGGGAGCCCCTCAGGGACTCTGCCAGTGGCCGGGCATCTGCGGGCGCCAGGGGCAGGCTGTCGGGCTCCCTGCAGGCCGTCCGCTCCAAGGGCAGTGGCGGACAGATCTGCAGCTGTCCGTGCCAGGCCTGCCCAGAGCCACACAGGAGCCGCGGCCACGTCGCTTCTGGGGCTAAAGAGGGGCCAGCGCAGCTCCCCGGTCTCCAGCCAAGTGCCCCACACAGGCTGCCTTCCTTGGCCTGCAAGCTTCCTGGGCACAGCAGGGCCAGGCCCACACCCGGGTCCTGCAAGCTTCCTGGGCACAGCAGGGCCAGGCCCACACCCGGCCCAGTGGGGCAGGGCCGGGCCTCCCTCCTGCAGCAAGGGCTTTCTCCTCGGGTAAGGCCCGGCCTGCCAGAACCCTGCACACTGCGCCCAGGCACCTCCGAGCAAGTGCTTCCTCCCGGCGTTGCCCTTCCCAGTGTTCAGACTGGGCAAGCTGCCTGCCTGGCGCATCCAGCGCTCCTCGGGCAGCGGGGTCCTGGCCACATGACCTGTCCAACCTAGCTTCGGCGGCCGGACGTCCCTGCAGACCCGTGGAGGTTTCTCCCGCGCCGCGTGGGGCTGCGACCAGGAGTCCCGCCAGCGACGTCCGGGGGGGTGGGGGGCTCGGGCAGCGCCGGTCGTCGGAGAGGCCGGTCCGCTGGCCGCCCCGAGCCCG